TCATTGCAGGGGATTGGACTAGATGACCTTTGAAGCTCCCTTCCAACCCAAACTAATTCTGTGACTCTATACAATATGTGCTAGCAGTATATGCTGGATGACCTTTGATCTTTAGCAGCTGTAGAGCCAAATTTTGCATAAGCCTTTCCTCTAGGGAGTTCACTGTTAGCAGTGGGGAGATTATCCTGGTCAATGAACTTGGCTTTTGAATTGCCAATGGGATTTATACCTGTGTGTCAGTTACAGGCCTGATACGTAGCTATGAAATGGTCATGATTTATTAGGAAGGTTCTCTTTTTAATGTGACTTTTTTTTTTTCTTTAATCTGTCAAAAGTAGATGACAGATAAGTCCTCCCTATAATCTTTAGGCTTTTCTGTAAAAATGAAGTTTCCTATATAAACAAAATAGCTCCTGGTTATTTTAGTTACAGTTTAATATGCTGTGTTCTGCCTCTGGGAGAGTGCTTAGATGAGAGATTCCATTCTTATTAAACTAAAATGTGACTTTAGTGGAGCTTTTCTGCTTCTGCTATTTCATATTCATAGTACTTAAAATAATGTAAACTATAGAGGCAAGAACCCTGTGAAACTCCTATTTATTTCCTAAATACATTAAATTTAAACCCGCACAGCACTGCCTGTTGGACTTGAAGATTTATATAATTTCCCCTACTATAGTATGTCCTTGCACTCTAGATAAGGAGTGCACACAGTTATTGCAGTAACGTGCATTAATAAGGACTATTTCTCCCAGAAGAAAGTGAATGAACTTCATGGTTCTTTTAAAACCTGCTGCTTCACCCTGTGCATCCCCCAGAGAAAGAAACCTCACTTTGCTCAGGCACTTGCAAGCCGTTTGCTCTTCTAAACAAATCTCATGTAAAATTGGCACGAGGTTGACAGGAGGAGAATTTTCTGCTTTGGATCTAGCACAGGAGACATGCAGTAAATCTCAGTTAAATCAGTGTGGGTACAAAGAATAACATCGAGATCCTGCTCTTGCATCTCATTTAAAAAGTGGATGCAAGTCCTCATGTTAAAGTCAGTGGGGCTGTGCTTCGCTTTTCATCTGAAGAGGTGGCTTTGAGTATATTTTCCCTCTTGTTGTTTTGGGACATAAGTTTATTTCCAGTGAAAAGGGACAAATATCCACAGTGGTGTTTACTGCAGCTTCTGGAATTCCTTAGAATTAAAAAAAGCCCTATGAAATTTGTGGCCAACATTAATTATGCCTAATTTTAGACTTATGGATGTGCTAGCTCTAGTAGAAATTACTTTGGAGAGTAATGCTCTTTAAATGTTGTCTGTTGTCTAGAGTCTGTTTTCTTCAAGCCTGTCGACATAAAACACAAGAATTCCCTTTAGTTTCAACACTTGGACCTTGTTTTTGTCACTAAATAAATGGTGTGACACTTGATAATTTCTATATGATATGTATTGTGACAATGACACTAAAAAATGAGTGTGATGGCCTCTTGCTGGGAAAGGGATCACTTATTTCAGGCAGCCAGTAGGCAGAACTCTTTAAAATACAAGGTGTGGTGACGGAGCTCTGTTGTGGACAAAGTGCTTGCCTTCCTTTGTGCCTTAAAAAGATGACAATCTTGTCTGATTTAAATGGGCAAAATGTTCATCAATAAGATTATAGAAAGAATGTCTTAAGGTACTAAAAGACATCTGCAAAAGTTGATTAAATGCCAAATCATAATGGCAAGGCAGATCAAGCAGTATTTCTTAGGGCCTGACAGGCTGCTAAAGTTGAGGTGGTTGGCAAAAGGATCAAAAGATTACTAGTAAATGTTTTCTTCTTGATTTTTCTACCTGGAAAATGCTGGAAGTTGTAGAGTAGCAGAACAGAGCAGAAAAACTGGTGTTTGGTTTGGTGACTAAAGCTGAGAGCATGTGAGGGAGACATATTCTGTATGAAATACTCGAGTTGCAAATAGCTGGGTTGAAGGCGTTTGTGATACTGGCTCCTCAAGTATCACATTTCATCAACGCGCTTCAAGGAGCAGCATTTTATAGCAAAAATGATACTGTGTTGTGGAAGCAGGTGAATCTTGATTATAAATCTGCTCGGGAATGGGAAGAATTATAGGATATTCTTGTTTGTGGTGCCAGGGGACTGGAAGCATCTCTGCTGGATACACACTGTATAGTCCTGCCCCGAGACTTTGCAGCTATGGAGATCCCAGCATCTTGTATGGTAAAGATGCTCCAGTCCCTTAATTGTCTTTGTGGCTTTGAGCTGCAGGTACTCTCTTAAGTCTGTATCTTGTACTGGGGAGCCCAGACTGGATGCAGATGCAGTCTAGCTAGGGCTGATTTCTTTGCTGCAACATAAAACTAAGATGCTGTGTTGTACAGTACTCAGCGTGGGCACTTGCAGGATTAACTTCAGAAGGGGGCTCATTGTGAAGCAGTAAATCTGTTTGAAACGTTAGTTGCTGCTTTGTGGGCTTTCTCCCCACCCTCCAGGAATGCTAATCTTTTGCTGAGGCTGCAAGTCTGAGCAGCTCAGCTGTCATATGAGTGACTAGGAAATATCCTACTTGCCCTCGTTTCTTGGGTAGATGCTCTTGTCCATTTTAAAATTCAGAAGCATTTGCAACGTTTCATTTGCTCATTGCTCTGTGGGGATTTTGGGGGTTTTGGGTGTTTCAGTGTTTTGGTTTTTTTTAAGGTTAAATTCAAGGAATGTTTTTGTTGTGGAAGTTTTAATTTGATTTTAAAACTGCCTGTAAGAAGTATTAAGATTGCAGTATTACTCAAACAATAATCACGTATTGCAAGCCCAGGCTTTCCTCTTACAGTGGGTTAATTTGTTGAGCAAAAGTTTTCTAGAATCCCAGACTGGTTTAGGTTGAAAGGGACCTCAAGATCATCCAGTTCCAACCCCCTGCCATGGGCAGGGACACCTCACGCCAGACCAGGTTGCTCCAAGCCCAGTCCAACCTGGCCTTGAACACTGCCAGGGATGGGGCAGCCACAGCTTCCCTGGGCACCCTGTGCCAGCGCCTCAGCACCCTCACAGGGAAGAACTTCTGCCTTAGATCTAACCTGAACTTCCCCTGTTTCAGTTTGAACCCATCACCCCTTGTCCTATCACTACAGCCCCTGATGAAGAGTCCCTCTCCAGCATCCTTGTAGCCCCCTTCAGACACTGGAAGCTGCTCTGAGGTCTCCACGCAGCTTCTCTTCTCCAGGCTGAACAGCCTTAGCAAAGAAGTATTTATTACTCATGAAGGCAAACACCTAAAAGCAAACATCTGAACAGCCTCATGGAAGTTATTTCAATTGAGGCCAGAAGTTATTTTAGGCTGAGAAACTATTTTGTTGCCTGTTTGTGTTCTGGTTTTTCATGTAACTTGTTTCACTTCCTCTGGAGTATTTGCCCTTGTGCATTTCCGAAATGCATAATCCAGATCTACTGAAAAAGAGACGTCTGAGCATTGTTTATAAGTCCTTTTAAACTGCTGTGATACTCCCAGATCAGAGATATTATTTCCTGGGGGGAAAATCCTACACAAGTTCCTTAGTGGTTTATGTACCATTGGAATGCAGGCTGAGTCTTACAGGTAGGTAAGTGTGAGGTGTCCCTGCCCATGGCAGGGGGGTTGGAACTGGCTGATCTTAAGGTCCTTTCCAACCCAAACCATTCTGGGATTCTAAGTAAACCGCATGAAAATCAAATTAAAGTCAGCGGTGATTTTAAACCATGTTTTTGCTTCAAATTAAGTCATTTCTGACCCCCAAATCAAAGGTACTCGGGCTGCATGCTTCCCCCTTCTCATACATTCAGGGGTGAACTTCTCCCTTCTAATACATGCTCATTGGTAGTGGCAGCTGCATCAAAGGGCTGGTTTTCCTTCCCCGTGGTAAGTTTGCAGGTATGAAAAACCACTATTAATTTTGACACTGTTTCCCAAAGCATCTTGCTGAAGACCTGAAGGGAGAGCTTATTGTGACAGTGTTCATCACAGTTGTTAACTTGATGCTCAAGAACAGCTGGAACTACATCTTTGATCTCTTAGTCTCTTCATTGTCTTGTGTCTTGGTCAGCTGTAGCTGTACCATGGAGGTGTCTTCGTTGGCTCTAGCAGTTGCTTAAAATAGGTGTTTTTTTCCTTTCAGTTATATCCTGAGTTTTCCCTATAAAGCACATGGGTGTGAGTAAAGTTAATGGGAAGAATCCTGCTTTCTTTCCTGTGGTGGTAGCAGTGACATCTACATCTTTCCAGTCGCACTGGGGAATGCGTTTGAAATGATACCTGTGTACTCCTTTTAATGATGATTTAAAATCCTTGTTTCTTAGTTGGTAGCACAAAAAAACCCCTCTGAGTGTTCCAGAAGAGGATGTTCTCTATTCAAACACGTTCACAGGGGTTTTGTTTTGTAAATGGTTTTGCAGAGCCATGGTGTAAGAACTTCAGAAATAATCCAAATGCGATTTCACCTGAGGTCGTTGAACGTGTTCCATGTGGAGAGCAACACCGAGGTCTCCCCTCAATATTATTTATTACCCAAAATGATTTCTCATTTGCATTTCTTTTTAATGGGGGTGTGTGTGTGTGTGTGTGTCTGATTTCAGTGCATGGAACTTGAAAGATAATTCTGAAATGTGTCATTTAAGCTGTACCAGGGCAGGTTTAGATGGAGCTGAGGAACAATTCCTTTCCCAGAGGATGCTCAGGCATTGGAACAGGCTTCCTAGGGCAGGGCTGGAGTCACCGTCCCTGGAGATATGGAAAAGACCTGTAGACGTGGTGCTTAAAGACATGGTTTAGTGGTGGACTTGGCAGTGTGAGGTTACTGGTTGTGCTCCATGATCTTAAGGGTCTTTTCCAACCTAAATCATTGCAGGATTCTATGATGTTCTTCTCTGATGGCAGTAACTTTCTTTTTGTTGGGCAGATGTGCCTGTGATTTCAACACACTGGGGAAAAATATCAGTGCTTTCAACTGATTTTGCATTTTGTTGTTCTGTTTCTGATTTCAGATAGTCCTCATAGCTGTTCCTATCCAGAACAGAGTATACAATGGGGAGAAAACTGGATCTTTCAGGCTTGACTGATGAAGAAGCAGAGCATGTGCTCCAGGTGGTTCAGCGAGATTTCAGCCTTCGGAAGAAAGAAGAAGAAAGGCTGAGGTAAGAATAACAACATGATTAAAAATACTGGTCTCTCTGGATTATTACAAACTGTTTTTTTTTGGGGGGGGAACTGGAGGACACAGCTCTTTTACAGTGTTCCTGTCACAGAGGCAATAAACATCCAGACTTCTGTCAATGAATTCAAGTATTAAGTAGTAATTCAGTTTTGTTTAGGCTACCCTGGCCTAAACCACAACAGTGGGCTCTGAATCATCTGTGTATGTCACTGGGTTAGAGACTGTGTAGTAGTTGGCTTTAACAAACACAAGGTTAGGAGAATTTGCTTGCTGTAGTCAGTTCCTTTTATTCAGAAACTTCATTTATATGGAAACATCTGAAGGTGAAGAAGTTCAAGGCGTCTCCTTCCTCCAAAATAATCAATGGGACACATTATCCAGTGTACTGAGAAGTTCACTATGCTTTCAGTAGCCTCTATAAAAAATGATTGCAAGCAGAAACAACCCAGAAGCAAATAAATGGAACTTGTTGGCAACGTAACTTTCTTGGCCCAGGAACTTCAGTATGTGACAAGGGGACTACTGAGAGAGACCTGAATTGGTAGATGCAGTATTTTTCTTGTAGTTTCAACAATATTTCCTCAAATTATTATGTCTGACTTTTATTATCTTCTTTGAACGTATTATTTATTCTCTAGAACAGTCTGAAGATTCCCTTTTCAGTTGGCAAATGCACATCTTACTAGCATTATAGATACCATCCATTTCTTTATCATTTAGCATCAAGCTGAAGTCAACAGAGCAGGAAGATGACTGAAATAAGCACAAAACTAGGCATATATATTAGATAAAGTTGGAACTGAGAGGAATCCTGTGTCAATTTTCTCTTCCTATTTTATGAAACCAGTAGAAACAGAACAAGAAAGGCAGCTTGTGGCATAGGCCTAATTCAGTGTTGGCATGCTGTGCAGGCTCTTGCTTGGGTTGGTACTACAAGCTTGCTGCAGGGAAGAAGGACTGGAGGAGGATGGCATGCACATTATTTGTTTGCCTGTTTATTTTGCTGTGGGTAGCACTGATTCTTTTTGAGTCCTTTACAACAAAGCCAGGAGTTTAGAACCAGCTTCAGGAGGGTGAATGTGTAGGCTTTTTTCTTATGTGACTGGTTGTATCTTACTGGAGCAAGCATACCACCTGTAGCAAGTGCTGGTGCATCTTGCCTATGCTATACAAAGATGCTGTACTGAGGGGAGGAGGGGGAAGGATGTAAGGCATGCCCACAGAAAACTGATTGGAAAGTTCTTGCTGGTGTTTGTGTTTTACCATTTTGCTGCTATAGTTGTCCATGAGGCTTGATAATTGAATGATCACAAGTAGAAAACGGGTGTGGGAAGGGAGATGAAACACTGGAAAGGTAAGCAAAACACATGGACTCAATGCAGCTTGTATTGTAGTGTTCTCTTGAATGTAGTATGTTATGTAAGTGTGTTAAGCTGGAAATAAGGAGCTGTACTGACAAAGACCAAGTTCTGAAAGGGAGGCTGGTACTGAAATGATTTTAATGACCTTCAAAATGACCAGTGAAGTTTAAAGCTTACTCTCTCTTTTTCTTTTTTTACAAAATGCGAAGTTAAAAGGATGCAGCAACACATCTTTTTGTCATACTATGTAAGAGAAAATGTTGTCACATAAAACACTTCAACCTTGCTCTAGATGAGAATTTTCAGCCTGTAGCAAAGCAGACCAGTTCTTGTGTCTGCTTGGATGTTCGTGGCTGTTTTGCATTGGGTTTTAGAAAGCTATCAACTGGCAAAGTCTCCAGTATAGGCTCACTTCAGAAGTATTGTCAAGCTTTGGAATCTTTTTGTAAGAGAAAAAATGCTTTATGTTAGACTGCCATTAATTCAAATATTTTATATATATATTTATATATTTTACATATCTATTATTGTATATAGACTGCTGTTAATAAATAGAAACCCAAGTTGTATTTGTGGGTAATAATTAATTAATTATTACTCCATAATTAATTCCGGGTAGCAACTTTATTTAATTATTTAATTATTTAATTTATTTAATTATTTAATTATAGCACCTTTAATTAATTATTACCCCATAATTAATTCCAGGTAGCAACTTTAGTCTTTGGATGGAACTGTTGAAGCTTTCATGTGTGATACTTTCTTAAAATAGTGTTTCTGAGTAATTCTTTGTACAATAGTTCTATTTTGGGGTGGTTTTCCCCACAAAGATGTAAGTAGCTGTTTGACAGGTCTCTCTCTGGATAATTCCTACTGGTAGCAATTATTTCTAAAGATCAAGAACTACTTAAAGGAATATATGGCAGATTTCTAGAGTATTGGGAGAACAATGAAAACTAGGAAACCTCCAAGTGGTTGATAGCTTCAGTTTTGCTTTGTTAGCAGAAGCTGAAGAGTTAAGTAACATAAGACAAGGAATGAAGTTTATCTTCACCCCTCATAAATGCGCTTAAGATAGTAAAATGTCAACTGTTTGAGAGCAAACATGCTAATGTCTGTTATTCCACGTTAATTTATTGTTCCATCTTCTGAAAACAAAATGACATGATGAATGTGTGGAGAAAAGCCATGCTGATCATCTGCATTTTCTGCTGCAAAGCTGTTTGGAAGCTCTCTGCAGTGAGAATTCTTAGCACTGGTTCTCTAATCCAGACCTTTCTTCTAACTTCTTGCTCGTGTTAGCAGACAGGCTGCTCTTGCATGTTTTGTGATCGTGTAGTTGGCTAAAAATAGATGACAATAAGACATAACCATATGTAAATAGTCAGTGATTAGTGTGGCTGCTTTATTATGCCTTATTGCTTCCTATTATTTCAGTTTCTTGTTTTGCTCTGGCTCTTGGCCTGATCCCAGATGGATAATATTTACTGTTCTTTGTTGTTTGTTCACCCATACTCTTTCTATTTTGATTGTGTTGGTTCTGTTCTTTGGCAGTAGTGTTGTGTTTTTATTGACTGCAACGTTAGTGTAATCATCCGGAGTCACTGAGGCTGAAGTGATAACGCACGCTGGTGAATAGATGGGCTTGGTTTTCTGTGAATCAATTGAGGCAGGCAAACCAGGCAGATCAGACAGAATTAGGAAGGGGATGGCTTTGTGTTGCTTGGCATGTGTGCTCAGCACTACAGCCTTGTGCACATCACCTCTGCCACAGAAGCTCTGCAGGCTGTCTCTGGGCTCCTGGCTCACTGATAGCCATAGTTGGCTAGTTCAGCAGGTTGACTGCACACGCTCATGGTTTGTTTTCTCAGGAACAAGTTTATGTTCTTAATCTTTGCATGTCAGACTTGATGCAGCTGCAGGACAGCAGCAGGAGGGAGGATTGGCTTGTTTTGTGGGTTGAGCTTTTGGTGTTTTGCTGTGTATAATGTCCTTGTCATATCTGCAGTTGGTGTTTCGGTTTTTAATGTTTTAAAGAAATGGCAGAGGAGAGCTTACAAGGCCAAATACGTGTTTGTGTTCGTGAGATAGGCCTCTTTATGTAAGCAGATGTGTAAAAGAGAGTGCTGCCTTGTATTTGTTTCTGTTTGCTGCCTGTGTATTCAGTTTTCTAGACTGCCTAAATGTGCCACTCTTTATTCTCCTCTGCCGTGGGCAAAATCAGTTCCCCCTTGGGTTTTGTTCTTACCGCTGTATTTATAGAGATGCTTGCCCATTTATTTGAGGCCAGGAATGTTGAGAAGTCAGGGTGTTGTAAAAAAGTGAAATTAGAATTTTCCAGATCACCTTATTGTGGCAGATGTTCCTGACCTGATGTGTTTTAGCCATGTGGGCAGGTAAGAAGATGGGTGTTCTGATACTGAATTTAACATTCCGAATGACTACAAAAGGGTGGGGAAGGGGGCAGGTATAGAAAGGGCTCAGTGCTGACCAGCTGCCAACAAAGTAGATGCTTTACCTGTCAGCAGCAACTTTACTTTAGGAGGTCATGGCCTAAGTGACTTGAGCCCTCTTCCGATAACCATTGGCTAACTAAAGTTTCCATCACTGTAGCAAACGCTGAGTCAGCATCTTTTTAAGAGTAATTCTAGTGATAAACCTTAGAAATTTGCATTTGCGCAGGGCTGAAACGTTTCTCTGCAGGGGACAGGGTTCCCTTGTTCAAACCACTGCTGTTAATCATCTGGGAAGATGCATTTACGAGGAAAAACTGCTGGCCTTCTGGTATAACATGGACATGTGATCATAGAATCACAGAATCAACTAGGTTAGAAAAGCCCTTTAAGGTCATCAAGTTCAAACCATGTCACTAAGGGCGTGTTAAACACTTAATAGGGTTACATGGAGTCACCAGAATAGCACAAAGTAAGAGTTGGGAGTTGACTGTCACCCACAGTCAGCAACATCACCACGTCCTGCCTGATGTTGTGTCTTTGAGAGCTGGGTTGGTGAATATCAGCTTTGCTGTCTGCCTTTATACAGTTACATTTTTAGTTGTGGTAAAGAGAAACTGCAGTGTTTCAGGATCAGATCTCCAGCAGTGCTTTATCTGCAGAAAAGAGAGGTGTATTCTCACTGGAGGGCCCTCTCCACTCTGCTGCTTATTTTCTTTTAGCCAGGCAATTGGTAAGGGGTTAGAATAGAGCCTTGCATAGAAGATGATGAAATGCTGTAGATTAACTGAGTTGCTTTTGCCTGCTTTCTCCTTTCTGTTCCTTTTGCATCATAGCCCGTTGCAGCATTAATAGACGTGAAGATGCTTCTTAAGAAACCAATTCTCATACCTGACAAAACCCAGAAACCAGTTTGATGCTTTTTCTTGTATTTACAGTATGTGTCATGGGTCTTGCAGTGGATAAAATATTAAACTCCTTCCAGCTTCTGATAATTGAAATATCTCTGTGAATCATATCGAAGTGGCAAAATGCCACGTCAGCCATTTGGTTAGCTATCTGTTGATTCTGTGTATCGGTTCTTGTTCCTCCTTCCTGGGACAGGTATGTCTCAAATACCTTAAAAAATCCCCCAGCAAAACCCAACTCAAAACCGCTGTCCGTCT